GATGACCATCCACATCCCTGTGACATTATAATCACAGTGGTGGGCCCTCACTCTGAGATCAGATGACCATCCACATACCTGTGACATTATAATCATAGTGGTAGCAATTCTTGTTCAGGTGACAGGGCTCCTTCTCCACAGCATCAGGGCAAGATCTTCCTTCATCAGCAGGTTGTCTGATGGGGTCAGCTGACCTCTGCCGGAAACTGCTTTGATTGCAAGGCTTAAAAAGAACAACACAGCTTCTCAGAAAGGTGAATACTCAGCCCCACAATAGCTGGGGTATTAGGGAGGGCACTAGAGCAGAAGTTAGAACATTTAGGTCACTGGCTAATTTGGACAAGGCAGTTAACCTCATTACATCTCAGTTTTTCTGGGTATTAAATGAAGGTGCTGGATGAGATTCTGATGTCCCATCCATCAATAAGATACTTAAGATGCTATGGGTTAGACACTAATAAGCATATCACCTCATAGCTACCCAAACACATGTACATGTGGTCATTCTTTATTATGGAATGCTAGTTATATATATATGTTATATATGTAATTTCTACATAATGTGTATATATGTGTATATGTCTGTATATATATAAGTCTCTTGTACCTGAGCAAACTATTTTAAAGATGATTTTAAATAAATATCTATGTGTTAGTGACTTTTTTTTCTAAGGCACACATGTGCACAAACATAATTTAGTATCTGAAAAGACTGGCTTGCCACTCTCTTCCAGAGAGTGCTGTGTATAGTCTTGTTTTCTGAGAACGTGAAGCAGGTAGGGACAAGCCACTTTGGACTCTTTCAGGCCTAAAATAATTGCTTCCTCTTCCTCTGCTCCACCGCACTTGGCTCACACCATTGGCGTAACACTGACTGCCCTGTCCATGGTGGGAGTACTGTAAAGGCCAGGCTCCTCTCTATTGTGGGAACACACTGACAGAACACTTGGGTTTTCACATCTGTCTATTCTTTATACTGAACACAGTTCCTGGTAAGCAGAAAATGATTTATCTGTGTTAGTTTAATGAAGGCTTAAGTGAGGAAAAAGAATGAATTAAAGGTAAAATATAAAGCTCAAGAAGCTCAGTTATTCAGTTAGTTAAATATTATTTGCATACAAATTTTTTTTGGTATAAAAACAATCTTATTGGTATAAACTTGTTTTTAAGTTCTCAGAGGTTCAAAATGCATTTTATTAGCACTTTCGGTACATGGCAGAGCCTCAATTATTCTTCTAAAATAATTACCTTTGGTCATTCAAAACAGAAACCAAATGGACCAAGTTCTAGGGAAGTGGTTCCTATTATTGGAACCCCTATTAATAAGGTGACACGGCCAAGGTTTATTATTCCCTCCTTTATAAAAATGGAATCCCTTTGCAACATAATCTGAGACAAAAAGAATCACACAATTATAAAAATAGTTAAACACTATAGAATACGGCCCAACTATTTGTGGTAACTTCAAGTCTGAGGCTATGAAATTAGAATGAAAAATCAGTTGCATACTTTTGTGAAATAGTGGATTCCTCATTGCAGTTAAACCAGCAATGTTTTTCTCCTGTTATATCAAGTGGCTGCCAATCACCATTTTTAATAATAGCATGGAGAAGGAAAATCAATTTCTCCTTGAAAAATATATACCATAGATTATTCATTGAAATTGTTTTATATTGTATTTCAACTAATAATCCACATTAGATGCATATTTTTTCCCATGCTTTCAATGCTGTTTTTGAAATGTACATCTTTACAAAAGTACCCAAGGGTAAGCCCAGGTAAGAAGCCCGATGTGTTTCAAATGACTCTCTTCCCAGTGTCCCATGGAAAAGCCCCTACTGGTTGTTGAAATCTAGAAGCTTTGTGTGATTTGAAATGCTCAGCTGGCTTTCTAGACCCAGAGGGGGTCCAGAGTCAGTGTGCAAAATGTGATTCACTGATGTGCAGCTTTCTTCTTTCTCCTCAGTCTCTTATGCGGGATCTTTTGCTTTTTAGTGGTAATCCCCTAGCTGCAGTACCCTCACCGCGTAGAAGATTATTCCCACCATTTAAATAAAATGGATTGGGCAAACAGCAAGGGGTGACAATAACATGACACCATGAAAGTACCTTTTCTAGCGCTCACTCATTTTCTCTTTTACCTGGAGGGAATCATTATCACCACTGTTTTTTTTTTAACATGCTATGTATTTATAAGGCAAACTGAAGGCCTTTTGTGCTAGTTAGGAGGACGGCTTGAGAAGGAGCATAAAGCTCACAGGACGTCTGTTTCCATGGGAGTGGAAACACTGCTGCCTTTAAATGACACAGAGGATGAAGAGCCCAAGGAAACACACCATGCTTGGTAAATACAGCCCACAAACATATTTTATACATTGAAGTTATTATATTTTCTTAATAATACCTTTAGTGGTAATAAATTAAGTATACTCTTTTGCCTTTGCTTTGTTGATATAAGAAAAAATAAATTAAGTAAGCTCTATATTAATAAAATGGTACAATCATCTCACCAAAACACATTGGGTCCATGGACCCCATTCAGATATCACACAGTCTTCAGGGCATGGTAATTTGCACTCTCTAGAGCCCAGGGGCATCTCTTCTGGGTCACAGAGGTAATCCTCTACGTGTTCAGAAGGGCCATCTGCTGTATTCTGCATGCACCTGGAAGAGACCGTACATACCTTTTAGAAGCAAAGAAACCAGGACAATTAGAATAATGGCCAACCCGTAGGAGTTCTTCTTAAAACATCATCATGGTGATGGGGGGAAGATAGCTTTGTATCTGATGAATAAAATTCTCCAAAAATTTAGACTTGAAAGGATCCCAGCTTCCCTCAAGTATCTGTAGTGTTTCTGCATGATTTAAAGATATATAATTGCATGCACGATCATTCAATCTCTGAGTATAAAACATAATCTTTGTATATATGTTTATACTCCGCATGTCAGGTGATCGTCCTCTGAAATGAAAAGGTCATTTATACTCATATAAGGCAGAAACTAATGAGGAGTGGTCCAAAATGATTCATATAACACATATGATTCATTTTTTCTTCTCAAGAAAGTGGTGGATTCTATGGAAAAGTAGAGTTGAGTTACATATGGTGAAAGACCAGGCACACTGAAATCTCTAAGTGAGGTTTCATTGAGGATTTTCAAAGACAACTAGAGGTATTTATTGATTTGTTCTGTCATTTAGAAAGTAATGTCAGTCTTCCAACTGCTGCTGACCTCAGAAGGAACCCTCAAATGAAAAGACAATTACATCTGTGATAGCACAAATTCTTGAAATGTGGTTATTGGGTCCTCCTACTTCTCGACCTTTTTTACACAATTGTTAGTTTTCTTTTAAGTAGAATAAATTCAAACCTTATATTGATATTGCATTTTATTCTGTTGCATGCCATCATGAAGGGTTCTTTATCTCTTAGTAGTCTGATTAGTGTGGTTAGTATCAGACTTTATTTTCTCGTATGTAATAATCTCTTTTGGCATTTCAAGATGATTGTAGAAGAGAAAAACTTTATCCCTCATCTATAATTGGAGAAGGTCAGCCAACTTGGTGGGTTTGGGAAGAGAATTGATGGGTTTGGGAGACAAAAAAGAAGGCTTGAACTCTCAAACCTACTTCAATGTTTAAAATGTCAATTGAACTACATTAGTAATTATACCTGAAATCTGAGCTTTTCTCAGGGATTTACAGTCAGTAGAGACATTCACAAATCTCCTCTGAAAGATTATCTTTCTATACAGTGCTATTGATGTAAAAGAAATGTCCTTTCCCTGTGAGACACATTCTATGACTGGAAGATTATGCTGTTGGTCATGTCTTAATTGTGTGCACAGCCTAAAAAGTACCTGTATAAATACATACCTATGAATTTTTTAATACAGTTCAGTTTTAATATACTGGATAAATACATAAAAAATCCCCCAAATCTGAAGAGGCAGATATTTATATGATCTCATTGTTGAAAGAGAAAGTCAAATTATGAATCTCTTTGGGAGAATTTTAGTTTCCCAGGAAAAAGGTCTACTTTCAGCAGCATTTTAAAAATGTTCTGTTGATAGTAGCTTAGAGGAGACATGGGGCAGACAAACTTTCAATGCTGAAAAGTTTTTGCTGCTATGAAAAGATTACATTCATGATAGGTACTGATACAACAGATAAGGATTAACTTGTAAGATTTCCTACTGATCCAAAGCTAAGAATAGATGTCCAATACTGTATTAAGTACTTATGCACATAAATCTTCATTTTCAACACCTTTTCTCCTTAATTTTGTATTATCTAGGTACTATATTCATTTTAAGAAAATCACAAGAAATAACAGAAATTCACATAATTCCATTACTCAGAGATAACCACTCTTAATAGACTATATCTGTTTAAAAAATTTTAACAGACTATTATCTTAAACATATACTTTTATTTTGTAAAATAGGAACAAACTTTATCTGTTGTTTATACCATTAAAAACCAACACTATAGATAGTATAGACATCTTGTGTCATTAACTATTTTTTAAAGATACATCTTTATTTTCCATTTTTGAATTCCATTGCTTGAATGTGCCACAATTGCTGAAAAATCCTTACTGTTGGCATTTAGACTATAAGTTTTATTTATTTTATTTGGTATTGACAATTTTAAAAATCACCCTATATACAGAATAAATATTTGGATGAAGTTGTGAGCCCAAAGGAAGGCACTTTAAATTCATTTCCCCTTTGTCAAATGTTTGGCCTTTCTCTTTTCTAAGGAGCAAGAATTATGCTTTGGGAAAACCGAACTGTGTTTGAAATACACAGTGTAGAAGGAAGTTAGAAATTAAGGGCAGAGCAGAGGCTCCACAGGTGCTGATGTAAGAAGGTGCATTGATCGTCTGCAGAACATTCAAAGACAACAACGGTGACTAAATCTGTCTGCGTTTTGTTATTACCATGTCCTGATAATTCTAAAAGATGTCAGTCCAGAAAAAATCCTTCTCACCAGCAAACCACTTCTACCAGCTTGATAAGTCCAACTCTCTTAAAAGAGAAAGAATGTGATTGAATATGATTAAACCTGCTTTTTTTATAGACTTATCTATCTTGAAATGTCACCCAACGCTTGCATCGAAATAGGACATTTTGACCTTAATTAGCAAACGATTTGGTTAGGGAGGTGTCCTACTCAATCAGCAACAAACAGGAACATTATTACACGATCAGAGATCACAGTCAATACTGACCTTCTCTTTTCTCTATTTGCATTAAAGAGGTTTACTGAAAAAATAAATTGGCCTGAAAAGTTATTTTGTTTAGCATACGTTTGGAAATGTTGAGAATATTTACAAAGCAAAAAAACAACAACATACACAGATAATGGAAGGGAAAGCTGAAAACAAAACCATAATCCAATTCTTTCATTATAATTTCTATTTTTAACATAAAAACAACTAACCTAATCAAATTATTAATATATAAAAATATTTTAATTTTTTTATGAAAAAATTTAATTTGGAAGGAGAATAGTGGAAAACAGAATCTCCGTTTCTTCTGTTTCTCTATCTATTCATTACCTCCCACCACCACCTTATGTCATACCAGGGAAAAATAATTTGAGAGTTCAGATGGGCTACTGGAAAAAGAAATAGAATGCTTTTTATTGTAAGTTAAGTTATACATAGGTTTATATGTAAAGGTTTATGATATAAGTTCTCATTTGTTCTAATTTCCAATTGAAAAAGATTAATGAATATCTATCTTAAACCTTAAATTCACAAAAAATTAGGTTATGGGTGAGTATGAACTTCATAACAAGTTCTGGTTTTGTTTGGCAAGCAATTTTTATTTATTAATTTAGGGTATATGTGTACAGGTGCACTTTTGCCACATGGACCTATTCCTTGGTGGTGAAGTCTGGGTTTTTCGTTTTAATCATTGCTTGAATTGTGCACATTGTACCCATCAGGCAATTTCTCATCTCTCGGCCCCCTCCCCCTCTCCCTCCTTTCCAAGTCTCCAGTGTTGACTACTTGACATTGGAGGAATTAGGCAATTCCCTAGGCATTAGGGAATTCCCATGACTATGACAATTTCTTTGTTTAGAGTAACTTATGGAATAAGTTTAATTAAGGTAACAAACATGTAACAGGATCATTTCAACACAAGGAGGGGTACACGGGATATCCGACCTTGTTTGTCCATTGGATTTTTCCGCAATTATGAAAATACAATCTGGGCCGTCCTACAGAGAGTTGCTAGCCTCATGTCACTACAGAGCACTGGAAATATGCCTAGGATGACTGAGGAGATGCATTTTCAGGTCTATGTAACCTTAATTAGTTTAAATTTAAATCGGCATGGTTGGAATCAGATGTGGTCAGTGGCTGCCCTACTGGGCAGTGCAGCTAAAAAGAATGAGTGAGAAGCAAGAGGCTGTCAAGGGTTCCAATGAAGATGTCTCTGGCTGAGCCAGTTTGATTAAAAAGGAGCAAGAATTTAAAACTGATTATTTTTTAAAATCCACTTAGAAATGTATTTGGCCATTAAGAAAAGAAGGATTTGGGATTGTAAATCTGCATTAGCTCAGCTTCAGTACGATGTTCCCTCTCTTTAAGAGTATCCTGAAGTGAAGCTTCCTAAATTAGACGTATTATAAACTGCTGCTTGAAGCACATCTGCTTAGAGTTTTCCATGAACACGTTCTCCAAAACAAAGCTAAAGCTAAACTTAACCAGGAGACTGGGGAGGAGTGAGTGCCCATGACGGCACGTGGGAGAGTGGAAGATGGTTGTGTGTCTTGCTTCTCTGTGCAATTAGGCTTGGCCTTACCTTACTTTTCGGGTTTGCACGCCCTCACCACAGTTATCCCGCATATTCACAAAGGTCACCTTGCAGAGACTCCAGGGCTCTGTGACCCAAATGTACTGGCTGCAGTCACTGTGGCAGGGGACAACCTCATACACCTGAAACACACACACACATGGGTCTCAGTGGTCAGGCAATCCTAGAGGAGTGAGTGGGAAGACTCATACCACAATCACTGCTTCACTGGTAAGCTACTTCCACACCCTCCTTTATCGTTCATTATTCTAAAATAGCAGTAGAGAGAACTCTCTTGAGGCGAGCCCTGTCGTAGCCTGTGGCTCTTGCCAGTTTGTTACAGGGGTAGATCTGATCCACTGGCCTGCAATAGATGTGTTAGTCATTTTCCTGTGCTGACCCTTACCACACTGTATTACAATTTCCTAGACCATCTGAATAGTTTTGTCTTTCTTCAATACTAAGCTCAGAGTACTCCTATGCTGGGCACTTAATATGGATTTGTTGAGTAAAAGCAGGTGAGTGGATAAATTAGATGGGTATATAAATATAGCTGTTTTTCATGTAAATGTAATTTGTCCTGTTTTCCAAATAAATAGGTTGTGATGACAGGAATTTACTTTTCTTGTGTTTTGTATATAAATTAAATTGAAAGATAAATAATTCTTTAAAAAGTCATCTTAAAATTAATCCTCATTTGAGATTGAAGGCAAGATCTGAAATTGGTCTCCCTGCATAGCTACAGCCCCAAGCCATGAAGGCTGCATGAAGAAAAGCAAACTGTCTGTGCTCTGGGGCCATAAGCCCCACTTGGAAGTACCTGTGAGTTTCAGGATTTTTTAGAGCAATGAACCAATGATGCTCTTTTCTCAATGAGAAGAAAGACTAAATAAAAGAAATAAATGGCTCACAATCCACAGCAACAAAGCAGGCTCAAACATGAAAGCAAAATATTTTAAGATATTTTCATAATCTGGTATTTTACACACAAAAACTATAATCTATATATGTTTTATGTACATAATTACTGAATATGTAGATTTAGATAGCCCATTGGAGCCATTCATTTGTGTCAATTTTAGCAGGCTAAGTTCCCAAGTAAAATAAATACAATGAACCTATCCAAATGCAAATAAAAAATACGCAATGCTGGAATCAGATTCTGCAATCATCTCCGTAAGTGACCACATTCACATTTGGGTGCTATGTTAAAGTAGAACTGAATAGCACAGAGGAAAACATTACCCTACACTTTGTAGGGAAGGGGAAATGCTGTTTCCCCTAATGCCTTGATGGCTTTCATTTTAATCTCCTAAATTGAAGTGAATACAGATCAGTTTAGAGCAATCTCCACCTTCCCCGTTTTCAACCCACTTGAACTATTTATTTCCTCTCCCTCTGAAAAGCCTGAGAGCTTTAATAAGGAGTGTCATTGCCTTGTCAAGGTTAGTGTAGTGAAGCTTGTTTTCCCCACTCCATCACCTCAGGCCCTGGTATTAAAAATAACGCAATGCAGGTAACTGTGCTGGCAAATAAAAAGGGAATAGCTACAGAAAAATAAAATTTAATGGAGAAATGTGATATTTTCTTCCTATAAAACATAAAAGAGCAGGAAAAGCAAAGTATTCTCAGAAATCATAAATTTTTTTTTAGAAAAAGCATTCTATTAAAAACCATGAGATTTAAAGGTTCTTACCTGTGCCTGGGGTCGTGAGCAACAGGAGTGAAGAAAAGAGAGAGAAACAAAGATAAGTAAAAATATCAGTACATTATGAGAAGACTGTGCAGGGCAGGATTCAAATATCATTATCCCTAGATAGAAGCCTATTTTTTGAATAAAGGACTAGAACATTTTAAGGAAGATACACAAATGAGTATTACAAACAGCAATTGCCACTTATATACCATGGGGGATTGGTACATGATTGAAAATAACTTGTGATCCAACTTGTGAACGGACTAGTATCTAGCTGGCCATCTATTTATAGATGAATCTATTGATTGATCTTAATCAATTCATCTATCTGCTTGTAGGAAATAAGGATTTGAGGATTTGCTTTGTCAACTAGATAATGGACCTTTGGAGACCATTTTCAAGCCAACGGGCCCACTATTATTTTATTGAAGAATGTATACCTGCAGTAAAAATCTATGTGATTTACAATTTTTAACAATAACACAAAATTTTACATATTCTTTACCTTCCTTAGATATTTTACTAATACATACATCCCTAGCAGTTTCTATTTTTTTGTGGAACATTTATTCTCAATGTCATATGTTCAAAAGTTGACTATCTTTTGTTTTAGCTTTGATTTTTTAATTATTAGTATCTCAATAAACCTCTGTAGTCTGATAAAAAGTACACAAATGTCCCTCTCAAATTCAGTAACAGATTATATCAGAATGGGGAAGTGACAGGGAAATTGTTCGCCCTAAAGACTTTTCACAACAAAGACAGTTTAACACAGATCTTGAACCTTTAGAAAGTAACCATTAAAGAAAAGGCTGAGGCAAACATCCTATTTTAATTGTAGATCTGACTTGGCATACACACAGATGTAGGACACTAAAGTTAAACGGGGATGAGTATGTGTGGAATTTCTCTGTATTAGGACTATGGACCATGACTTATTTATTAAAATTAAATCTTCTACTGGAAATTCAAGGTTTCAAAATTTGTAGAGAAATATTCTTTTGTATCATGCACATTTTAGTTCAGTTATTCTGTCTGACAATTACATAAATAGAATCATGAAACTGAATTTTCTTCTTGGGAAATTTCAGTAGTGTCTTTAGAAATGTGAGATGCTCTATGACAGGGAAGCTCAGCAACCAGTAGATGGCAGCAGTGGAGTACATTACTCACCCTCAGTTGCATTAAAAGGCTAAAAGTCAGCAACTTCACTTTGGAAAACTGAGATTCTTTTTTTTCTTTTCTTTTTTCTTCCTTTTTTTTTTTTTTTTTTTGCAGTTTTTGGCCAGGGCTAGGTTTGAACCCACCACCCCCGGTACATGGGGCTGGCACTCTACTCCTTGAGCCATAGGCACCAGCCAAAAAACAGAGATTCTTTGAGAGCACGTTCTATAAAATTTACTTCTCTGTCTCATATTTATTTATTTCATAAAAAAATTCTTTTTATATTTTCTCTAAAGTGTTTTATGAATAAATTTAGGTTAATTTATGAAGAAAAGTATGTGTGCTGGTAAGCAGTGTGTTTGGAGATGAAAATTAGACAAAATGAAACATTTCTACATATTTAAGGATGTAGTTTACTTATTGTGACTTAAATTCAAATATGCAACTGAACATCTAGACATAGTATGTGAAATTCACTTTTTGTTAATTTACATAGAGGCCAAACCCAATACATTTAAATTTAAATTTCATTTAAATCTGTCACAATTCTCCTATTAGCCTTTTTACTTTTTATCTCCAACAGAATACGAGCAACAATCATTAACAGAAGCTAGGAAAGCATGCATCTAAAGTCAAATAAAGTTCCAAATGAAATTGCAAATGACTGTTGACTAATTTGATAGCTATTTTGAGGCCTTCTTTATATTTCCTTTTCCTAAATTTATTTTATAGCAAACAAATTTAAACACAAAAAAGATGCATATTTTTCTAATTTTAGAACCAAACCCATATACTTGCTTTAATTTTAATTTAGTTTGTAATTGAGATTTTTTTCTGAGCATTTAGGGGAGCTATGAGAATAAGATAATCTCAGTTCATGAATTACATACAATTTCATGACAGATTAAATACCTTGACATTATTTCAAAGATAGGTGTCATTTTTCTCTCTACCGAATTATATTAATATTCATGCACTTGCAGGGGACTGAATCTCCAGAGAAAACACAGATATTATATCTAAAGTGAGATTTTAATAACACATATATTTAATGTGAGAATCTAATAACACACATATTTACTAAGACATTCTAAACAAGACAGTGGGTCAAATTTTTTATTCAGAAGCTATTATATACCCTTCTCCATTTTAGAGAAAAAAATACATCGTTGTGAATTTCGGCAGTTATCCTGATATGCTCAATGATGGGAAATACCTGGTTGACGTGATCCAGTTTGGGGCAAGGCCTTCCTCCGTTATAGGGTTTTTCTCGAAGCCACTTAGAACGAACCTTCACGCCGCTCCCACAGGACTTGCTGCAGCGCGACCAGTTGGACCACTCGCTGAGCTTGCAGTCCGAGGGGCAGGGGATGATGCAGGCCTCTTCAATGTAACCTGCGTGCAGGAAAATGAGATGAGAACCATCTCTTGCACCTGTCACTCTCCCACCGCCACCCACCATGCGAGCTCATTTAGAGCTTCCCAGTCTGCCTTGACAGCAGCATGTAAGGCAGAGGTGTCTCTGTTGTTAGGGACTCAAATTAAATTCTGGAGGAAAATGACACACACATACGACGACTCTGTTAAAATAACAGCTGAGCAGCTGCCATATGATCTGCTCAGGATTCAGGCTCACCGCATTTAAACATTTCTGACTTTCTGACAGCTCGTGCTTAATTGACAATAACTTGTCTGCTACTGTAATCATTCTCATGCTGCAAGAATGATATGTTAAAATAATTATAACATAGTTTTCTATAAAAACCTATCTGCTAATGTCACATAAGTTCAATGTTCTGAGTCCGTGAGATGTTTTTGCTCAATGAGGAAAGCCAGCCCCTTTTAATCAACATCCCAAAAGAAACCATCTAACTTAGCACCTTATGTTTCCCCTTCTTTCAAAATCGAGTCTGCAGGAGAGAAATGAGAGGTGTTATATAAATAATGCCTCATATTGTTACAGTGCTGTCAGTTTCAAAGCACCTTCATATCTCATATCCATCTGAGCCTTCTGAAAATCTTATAAATGTATTGTGTAGGGATTGATATTCTAATGGGCCGGTAAGAAAAGAAATGCAGAGAGATGACTGACAAGTCAAATATTACACAGTAAGAGATGGGGAAAGGTTCTTTAAGGTCTAGTCAAGTACTAATCCTAACAAATCACACAGGCAGTTGAATTAATAGTCTACAGATTTGGTTTGGACAATGGGAGTGTTTTCCTTGAACAGTCCTTTACTAATAACTTGGCATTTCACAATACCAATTTATTATTATTTTCAAGGCAACTATTTGGAAAGGCAAAATTCCTCTAGTCAAGAATCAAATATATGGCTGGCCTCCGTAATAGTCTGCTTTTGGAGAAAGGTCATTTTCCGGTACAATGTAACACTCTGTCTTACCATTTTACCTTAACAGCAGAAATTTCATTTTGAAGATGATTTTAAGATAAACAATTTACACCACAAAACTTAAGTAGGTTTAAAGAAATTTTATTGAGATGTAATTGTTGTACCAAGAAAATCAGCTCGTGTTTTGGTTTTTAGTGTACATGTACTTGAAAACATCATCAATCTGATTTTAGAACACCTTTATCACACTAAAAAATACCCTATATTTTCTGGCAATCGCTTCTTGTTTTCCCCTCCCTCATTTCTTATCAATCAGTAATTTCTGTTCCATCTCTATGAATTTGCCTATCCTGGACATCTCATATACATGAAATCAAATACTATGGGGACTTTCATGATTGGCCTTGGGTTCTTTCACTTAGTATAATGTTGTCAAATTTCATCTACTTTGTAACACATACCAGTACTTTCTTTTTCTATGAATGATTAATTCATTCATTATTTCATTGTACGGATATACATTTTACTGAGCCATTCACTGGATGGCTAAATATGAATAATCCTGCTATGGAATGTCTAGGAGTGGAATTACTTGGCCAAATGGTAACTTTATATCTAACTTTTTCAGGAAACATTAACTTGTTTTCTGAAATGACTGCACAATTTTACATTCTGCTAGCAATGTATGAATGCTTCAGTGTCTACAAAGCCTTGCCATGCTTGTTATTATCTATCTTTTTTATTTTAGTATACTTTGAAGAACAAAAGTTCTACATGTTAATGAAATCCATTTCTCTATTTTTTTCTTTGGTTGCTTGTGCTTTGGTGTCATATCTAGGAAATCATTACCTATTCCAAGGGCATAATGGCTAATGCCAAAGTTTTTTCTAAGAAGTTTATAGCTGTAGTCCTTAAATTTAGATTCTTTTATTTTGAGTTAATTTTTGTGCCTGATGAAAAGTAGGAGTCCAACTTCATTCTTTTGAATGTGGCTATTGAGATATACTAAACCCATTTGTTAAAAAGACTATTTTTTTCCTCAATGAATTGTTTTGGCACTCTCATTAAGAATCAATTGACCATAAACGCAAGAGTTTATTTTTGTACTAAATTCCATTCTGTTTATGTCTATGTCTAATCTTATGCCAGTACCACACTGTCTTGTCTACTGTAACTTTGCAGTGTGTTTTGAAATCAGAAATTGTGAGTCTTCCTGCTTAGTTCTTTTTAAAATTAGTCTGGCTATTTTGAGTCCCTTCTATTTCTGCATAAATTTTAGAATCAGATTTTCAATTTCTTAAAAAAAAAAAGGAAGCTAGGGTTTTGTCAGAAATTGCATCAAATTCGTTAATCATTTATCAAATCCACTGATCAATTTGAGAGTATTGCCATCTTAGTCCAGGTACTCAGTGCTTCTTTCCATTTTGTTTTTCTTCCCATTTTTTTAGACTATCTTTAATTTCCATCAATGGTGTTACGCAGTTTTCAGTGTACAAGTCTTGAACTTATTTTGTTATACTTAACTCCTAAGTATTTTATTCCTTTTATTTTGGGTGGATTTGAAAGGAATCAATAAGCTTTGATTTCTTTAATTACGGGAAAACCACCATTGAACCACATAGCAAATTTAATCTATTACCTTTTGCCCAGCCCGCCCTTGATTGAAATAGTGCTCAAATGCTAGCCAGTTTTACTAGCTAGCATTTCCTTGCCTTGTGTAATCATTAATTACCTGGAACACGTGATAAAGGCTTTTACCACCCTCCAACATTCTGATAGAGTTCACTTGTGATAGGATCTGATTTTTTTTGAAATTAATATATTTTCTTGTTTATTAAGCTCTGCCTATTTTTCTAAACTTAACTTTTTAAAAAGCAGGAAATTTGTAGCTTCACATGCAACTGCCAGAAATAATAGAGAGTTTCTTCATATACTTTTACCAGTTTCTTCAATGGTAACTAGCATATGATTTCAACTAAGATACTGATACTAATACAATCCACTGACAGGTTTCACCAGTTTTACTTGTACTCATTTCGGTGTATGAGAGCGCATCGGAACACTATCGTATGTGTCAGGTGAAACCAGGAAAATACAGAAGAAAAACAGATGTGTGGCCTAGCTCTCTACATATTATCTCCTATACTCTTGTCAAAGAAATTCATTGTTTGTTTTAAGCTTTCAATTTAAACTCCATACACAAAAGTGCATCTTTCCTAAGTGTAAAGTTCACTGAACATGCTCAAGAAACTAACTCTCCAGACCCTCCTTTGTGCCCCCTTCTAGCCACTGTGTTTATTGAAACACTGTCCCTTCTTAGTGACTTCCCACAAAATAGAACAGATCTACTTTTAAAATTTTTATGTAAATAGAGCCACATAGTGTACAGCTATCTGTGCCAGCCTTCCTTCTTCAGTCTACTTTGTAATGGGAGCATCATCCCCATTGCTGTGTGTTGGTGAAGGCTGTGCATTCTCACTGACACGTGGCGTTATATCCTATGGCTTATTTATTCATTCTATTGTCGGTGAGCATTTGGGTAGTTTTCAATATGGGGCCATTATTTTTTTTTTTTTTTTGGCCAGGGCTGGGTTTGAACCCGCCACCTCTGGCATATGGGGCCGGCACCCTACTCCTTTGAGCCATAGGTGCCGCCCAATATGGGGCCATTATTAACAGTGCCTCTGTGAACATTCTAGAACATGTATTTTGGTGAACATTTCTGTTGGGTGTATTTCTAGGAGAGAAATTGATGAGACAGAGAATATGCATATTACATAATCTTATTGTAAGTAAAGAAAACATTTAAAACATAGGATTACAAATTTGGAATGAAGAGCAGGATATAATGAAAATGTTTTCGAAAGTGGGAATTAGTCTCAGATAATCTCCTGGGGGGCAGATGGGACAAATGATATCTTTTCAGCTGTGAGATGTCAGATGTTAAAGACAGAAAGAAAATGCCAATGGTAGGCTTTGAATATATTTCTGATATTACAGTATTGATAATGATTCAGAGGAAAATACGACAGATAATTGAAAAAGTACTTTGCAATAGTGTTTATTGAAATTTTGAAAAGCATAGCTATTCTTCAAATAGATTGCATTGATCTGAAAACCTCATACTTTGACTTTTATTATGATCTGAGGTGGGAGAAGTAAGTCCCTTTCATTGTTTTTAGTTGAAATATATTTCAAATATCATTTGCTTTTTTCTTGTGGCACAGTTAGAAAATAAATTTATCAGAACTAGTATGAGATGCCTAAGAAAAATCCTCTTAATCAGGCCAGTAACAATTTGTTTTCCATTAAAAAGTAACAGTTTAGGGTGGTGCCTGTGGCTCAAAGGAGTAGGGTGCCGGCCCCATATGCCAGAAGTGGTGGGTTCAATCCCAGCCCTGGCCAAAAACTGCAAACCCCCCCCAAACAAAAAAACAGTAACAGTTTAATAAATAGAATCAAACTGTAAAAATGTAAAAAGTCATTTCTAAATCAATAACATTATGATCCAACTATTTAAAAATATTTGTAAAAGTACAATTAATCAAAAAAATCCCCAGGCGGTGCCTGTAGTTCAGTGGGCAGGGCGCCAGCCCCATATGCCAAGGGTGACAGGTTCAAACCCAGCCCCGGCCAAACTGCAACAAAAAAAATAGTCAGGCATTGTGGCGGGCACCTGTAGTTCCAGCTACTTGGGAGGCTGAGGCAGGGGAATCACCCTAAGCCCAGGCGCTGGAGGTTGCTATGAGCTGTGTGACGCCATGGCAATGGGCGATAAAGTGAGACTGTCTCTACAAAATAACAACGACGGCAAAATAAAACTAATCATAACGAATATTATCAATGGCTTTAGCAAAAGAACAGTAGTATTTCAAATATAATAAAGTTATTAAAATATTTCTAGAAGAAATACATTTTTCCATCTTGATAAACTGAAAAATGACTGTCAAAAGTAAATCTTTAAACTTTTATTATTCAGCAACTATTCCTGAAAACACAGCCACGTGATCTTTCTTGTCATTACTTTGTAGAGTAACAGATTAG